TTAAAGTAATCTTGCATCTATCAGCCCACTGATCGTAATATTCTGGAATTTGCATTGGAATCTTCATAGATGATCCAAGGATATGCGAATACAAATTTCATTGTGTTTATGTTAAAATTCGACATGGACATGCAGATGAATTCTTAGAAAAACTTTAGGAATTTCAGAATTAGCGGATGAATTGAACAAAAATAAAAAGAAGAACACTCGATTAAAAACTTAGTTGAAGAATCGAACAGTGATTGAAAATCCTGTTTTACACAAAATGAAAAGCAGATCGCACAAAGATGATTTCTACTCTGATACCAATTGTAGAAACGATTTAATCAAGTATAAAAGAAATCAGAGTAATCAAATTATATAAACATAAGGAGTAAATAAGATATGTTTTATAGCTCAACTATACTTTCGCATACACAGAGAATGTCATAGACAAAAAGCCTTGAAAAGTTCTATCTATCCTTGAGTACAACTCCTATCTATATAAGAATCTGAAAGTATACAAAAAGTACTGAGGACTAAACATCAAACTTCAAAACACAAACTGCCTTAGTAAATAGATAAAAGACTTTCGAAACTGCTAATATAAACTTCGACACATTACAACATATTCGACACTAACAATGTGTAATTTCATGGGTTAGCATAGAAATTCACATTTTTCCTAAGGTAACTAAGAATGGATTTTAGAAAAATTTTAATTACTTTATGTCATTATATTTATTAATGATATTATGTTCTATCAAATACGTACGACTAACAACCCTCCACCACACAGGAGAGCGGTGGGTAAGAGCGGATACTCATTCATGATTCAAGCGTACTAGTGATTTGACTGACTATTCTTATACGTATATATATATATATATATATATATATATATATATATATATATATATATAACTTTTAATTATAAATACATAGTATAAGGTGTATTACAAAGCATTTTAAAATACTAGGTTTAAATCTCTATATATATATATATATATATATATATATATATATATATATATATATATATATATATATATATATATATATATAACTTTTTTATATATATATACATGGTATTAGGTGTAATACAAAGCTTTTTAAAATAATAGGTTTAAATCTTAAATTTCAAAAAGTAAACTACTTTTAAAATTAAAATTAAACAAATTGATTTAATAATTATCTATTAATTAAACATATAATTAATTATATTAAACCATATAAGGATTATCTAATTAAATAAATCAAATAAATTAATCCTAATCCATACCCCAAATTTTTGAAAATATGGGTAGTGATTTATCCAATTTTATAATTATCCTATGTAAACAGATAAACTGATAATTACCAAAAATAAGAAAACCCTAGCAACACATACTAATTTTCGAAAATTGCATGCTTGGGAAGGAAGGTAATAATTTCAATTCTTACCTTAAATTTCAAAATATTGACGGGCAAGAAATCCTAGCTAAAATCGAAAATTTGAGAGGCAAGGTAAGGGTTTCATCCCTTACCAAATTTTCGAAACTTAGGGTCCAAGAAACCCTAATTTCGAAATCCTTAGCTTAAAGTGTTTAATTGCCATAAGCCTTAATTTGATCAATTCAAGAATTATAACCATTCAATAGAAAACAATCCTAATGCTCTGAAACCACTAATGGGTTTTATGCAAAACAAACAAAACTTAAACTCTTAAGTCTGCATGCAACCTTAATAAGGATCTCTGTTATCTCTATTGAACCTATAACTGTGAGCATCAAAATAAGAACCCTAGGAACCCTAGTGTATATTAAAAAAATCAAATATAAGTTAGTTTTTACATATTTTTTAGTTATTGTAGTAAATAACTAATCAAAAACCTTCTTGAAAAACTCATGGAAGCAAGCACCACAAATGTCGTGCCTCTAATGGTTCACATCCCAACTAGCAAGAGGAAAACTATAGAGAGATGAGAAGAGGGAGAAGATTTTGTCCAAGACTATTATAGGGAAGATATCGAGAAAATATGGGGCTAGGGAGACCTGTATATAGTTGAGTTAGCTTGGTGCCAAAGCAAGGGTTTAAGGAGGAAACCCTAATCCATTTGCTTAGTGACCAATCAGCCCATTCCCTTCTTTATGAAAGGGCTTGGACGAAATTCCTTGGGCTTTCCCAAATGATTTTCATCCATCTCATCAAATGAGGTCCATGGGCTCATTCCTTAACTTTTAACAAATAACCAAAGAAACCTTGCACCTTTAATTAATCTAATTAACCCCAAAATTAATTCCATCTGATTTCTGATTAATTATTAATTAAATAATATTATTTCCAATTAATATATTATTCTCATAATATATCAACAATCTATTTATTTTGATTTCAAACTAATTTATTAACCATATATTAAGTTAATAAATCATTCTCTCTTTCTATGAGTTATCCTATTCAATTGTCAGGTTTGATGACAACCCAAAAGGATTGTGCTACTCTCAATTCAAGTTTATACCAATTATAGTTATGAGCTGCTACACCCAATCCAACTTGTGGAATCAGTACATTTGACAACTATAGGTAGGAACTCAGGAATCATGGATTGGAACTAGTACGAAGTCTCAGGAAGGAGCGACAGTGGTGAGAAAGGGGTATCTGAATATTTGCGGTTCAGAATGTCTCCCATAAAAGTTAGATTTTGCAACTCCTTCAAGCGACGAACAACAGGTTTCGGAAACATGCTTCTGAGGCCTGGTGCTTTGGACCATGATGACAAAAATTATGAGCCATCCGTTCATTTCCTTCAAGAATATCAATTAAATGATGTAAAGCATCAATTTTTTCATTAAGACGTTTGTTATCAGAAACTAATACATTGCTTTAACAAAAATTGATTTCACATTTGTCTTTTAAAATGATACATTCATCTTAAGACATTACAAGCTCTCTTTCTAGTGATTATATCTTAAGCTTTTGATCTTCAAATCATAATCTAAGGCAAGTAAGTTCACTCACCATCTTCCTACTTACTTCTATGGCTGACTCATAGGCTTTATCGATGTTGGTCATATCCGATCACATATGGGTTAGATATGGTTAACAAAGAGATAAATCAAAATTGTTTTTAGTGATTATATATTTTACCTATTGAACGGTGCTCCTACCTAGTGGATCATTGGTTACCATGTAGCAAAACTTTGGCTCAGCATCTTCATCGTCTCCTTCTGAACCTAATGACTAGTAGCCTTCATCACATTCGATCGACTATCTTGCCATAAGACATATATTCCTTCCAGTTCTCACTTCATCCTCATCTTAAGAAGACTAGTAGCCTTCAATATCTTTTAACACAGTAGTAACAAAATCTTTCTCGCTTGTTGCCAGCTCTTGAGCTCTATGAGCATAGTATGCATAATCTTTAAGCTTCGGTTTCTGAGAAGTTTCAGCCAAACAGTCTTTAGAAAAATGCTTAGCATGTCCACACTTATGACAAACTATTTTGGGTTTGTCTAACTTTGGAATTTCATGGGATTCTAAGGGGTGACTTGATGAGGAGATGTTGGGTTTGTAAGCAGGTGGGCTCTTTGAAGGTTTAGGGAATGGTTGATGATTATTTTATTGAGGGGCTTAGAATATGTTTTCATAAGGTTTATGATTGGGATTCCATGGACGCTTGTATTTCATAAACAATAGTGAAAACTCATATTGGAAGAAAATTTCAAACTCGACTAGATCGAGATCAAGATTTTTTGAATGGTTCGGAACAAGTGGAGTAGATGGAGTAGGAAATGTTGGTTGAACAGACGAAACGTGTGGGATAGTTCTAAAGGGATCTGACATGGATAGGTTTGGAATGAATGTATTAACACAACTAACCAAAGAAATAGGACCTCCTGACTTTTCTCTTAACGTTTGTGAAACATTAGATTTATGGCCTTGTAGTTCTTCAAATAGTTGATAAACTTTCAGCTTCTTCAGAGATCCATTATGCTGAAGACACGACTTGAAATTTCCCCAACCTTTTCCGAGGCTACTAATAAACATCAGATTGTACTCAAGAGGAGTTCTGTTTATTCCATGTGCTTTCATGTTGTTCACAACAATTTGGTATCTATTTGAAGCCGAGACTACGATTTTACCTAGAGTAATGGTGAAGGTATCAAAATCATTTACCATAGAAGATAGGCGTTTATCTTTCATATTCTCGAAACCTTCGAACAGGTTTGAAGAGTGTCTCAAATATTTTTTCTATATTTTCACAACTTAATGTGCTCAAAGAGAGACAGAGGAACACCAAACACCATTTTGTAAAATGCAATTTGGTCAGCATGCAACTTTTCGATGTCTGCAACAGTAAGAGGTGTCGGATGTTGTTCTTTTTAGCCCATTAGAGATACAGGAGCATCTCTCACCATTTGTCTAACCGAAACATGAGGACCTTCTTTCAAAGACCTCCATATTTCTTGACCTTTCTCCTTTCCAAGTAAAAAAATTTCCATCCTAACTTTCCAGTGATCATACTCTTCAACAACTAACAATGGGGCACAAGAAGGGCAACCCACGCTATTTGCTATTTGCATAGAATAAATTTTTGAGTTCGATTAGGAGCAGTCATTGAAGTTAAAGTATTAGAGCAAAAGTGGTATGTATAAGAACGTTTAACCTTAACATAGAAACGATTGGGATACCAAGGTAATCTCAGCTCAACTATAATATGTTCTATCAAGTTCCAATGGGCCAACTTCTTTGACCTCAGAGAGAGATTTAATAATGAATTCAAGTTTGGAGTCAAGGCTGGTGACCTTCTGATCGATCTTGGAGTCAATATGATCTACAGTCTTCTCAAGAGACTCGACTTTCGAGAGAGAACTAGCCACATTGTCTCCGAATTCTAACAGGGAAAACGGATATGTGATGTTTTCGTCCAAAGAGCCGGTGTCCTAGGTAGAGCTCTCAGACTTGTTATCATTATCATTCTCATCATTGTCTCGGAGTTGTAACTGGGAAAATGGATATGTGATGTTTTTGTCCAAAGATCAGGTGTCCGAGGTAGAACTCTCAGAATTGTTATCATTATAATCACAATCATTGACATCAAGTGATTTAGAAGGAGAGGTATTTGTCTTGGTTTTGCTGCCTTGATTTCTTGGATTGGTTTCAGCTTCATTCCCTTGAATGCCTTGATCATTAGCATCAACTTGTGTTACTTCTTCTTGTTTAGAGGAGGATGAGAAAATAGCGAAATCATATACCGGTTTGGAAGAGGAGGGTTTTTGTACTGACTTGAATGATGTCAGAATTGGAAGAGCACCAACAGATGTGTTATCTTCATCGAACATTACATTAGTAGAATGTTCTTCATTTCAGAGAGGCTGTGAAGTTTTTTCACTTGTAAACTTTAGAGGAGGATCATCTGAAACAATTTGTAGATCGGGAAATCTCTTGTAGCTGCAGTCTAGGCTGGTTCAGAAGAGATAAACTCTTTAACTATTTATTCATCAGTAGGAGTGGAGAATGGCAGATTGCTTTGAATGGTCCTTTGACACATGGAGATAAGTGTGTACTCCAGTTGAGCTCTTGTTAGTTGCAGGTTGTAACACCCAAAAACTTGAGGAACAACTTTGGGTATAAATCACCTTTTGAGGATTGAACACAGCGTGTTGGAGGCACCAACATGGCGTGTCTAGATAAGAAGAGGTGCGGGTTTCATTTTCAGCAACACAGCGTGTTAGCTCTTAGAACACGGCGTGTTGATGGCTGGAATGAAACCCTAATATTTTGGCTTTTGCTCCCTATTTAAAGGAATGTGGAGGCTAAGGTTTGTTCACCCTCAAACCCCATCATCCCCTCAAGCCCTAAAAGAAACCATAATTATCTTTCCCTCCCATTTTAGAAGCTAGTTTGGTGTTTTTGAACTTAAAGAAGGAAAAAGGTGTAAGAAGGAAGCAAATATCCAGCAACCAAGCAACATTCCTCAGTTTGGCACTCTTCTGCACCCTTGTAAGTGTCCACGACCCGAATTTTTATCATTCAAAGTTGTTAGATCTTGAGTTTTATCCATTTAGCTTCTTATTCTTGAATGTTAAAATGGTTATATATCATAAAGTTTGCAACTTTATGAATCTCCAGGTCAAGGTGACCTAGTAGTGTCTTGGATCTGCTCTATAATCAAGTTTTGATGCAATGCATAGAGATTAGGTAATAGATCCTCATTTTAACCTAATATGGATTCAAGACATGCATTGGATATGAATGTCTAAAAGTCATCAGACATGTATCGGGTAAGATCAAAGTAAATATGGTTTTTGAACAAGTAGAATGTAAGTGAAAGAAATTTGACTTTCAAGAGACTTTAAATTGAGTTGAAAATAATATATTGATTACTTGCTTTTCTTGGTACATAAGACATGAAACATCGACTCCTTATTTAGTTAAGGATATACATAGTACAAACTGAGAGAACATTTTAAGGACTAGTTAATACTAAGTGTTTGACAATTATGACACTTAAAATTTATACTGGATTTGGTCGTAAGATGTTCCATCAACATAATACAAAAAGCATTAAATGCTTGCACAGACTCAAACTTCGAAAACACCTTCATCTCGAATTTAGAAAGACTTTATAACTCTTCACATCTCGGACTAGGGAATTGACTTCGAATCTACTTTACTTCGGATTGCTATAGGTTCACTTCTTATGCATTAACAATAATACACTTCTTGCACCAAAATTCATGCAAGACTAGACATACCAAACTCTAAAGATGATTTACAGATCAACACTGCCCACTCTAGAACAGGGATAAAAATCTATACAACAAGTTGAGGAATACCCTTAGCACTCGATGCTCAACCTGAGCGTACCAACTCCTCTTTATCTATTCAACGACATTCTAAAGGAAACACTGGCAACAAAAAGCTTCATCCAACATCTTCTTGCGAGAAGATGAATCTTGCATTCCTGAACACATACATCTGATGATAATGTTCTCTGCACCTCCATCCTGACCAAATCCTAAAACAAAGTTCTGCTTACCTGAACCACAAATCCCTAAAACCTATTCTTCCAATGTCATAAAATCAGACAAAGCAATGATCCTTCAACCATAATAGCCAGTTGTCCCCTACCTAGGGTTCGAACTACCATTAAATGACATTGTGAACTTACTACATCTCAGATGGAAACCTAATTAACTTCCCAATCACAATGTAACGACTCAAACATCACAAAAATTGTAAACTTTTCAAAACTGCCCAAAATTCATAAAACGTTTATAAATCATTGTTCCCAAAGTGTTTATCAATATTAGAATATCCCAAAATTATAAAGCCATGAAATTGGAGGATGTGTACGGACATGCATTTGCCTTTTCGCGGTCACCATAAATACCTGAAACAATAAACTAAAACCATAAGCAAAAGTTTAGTGAGTTCCCCCAAAGTAACACCACATAAACATAACAAAAAAAAACAACATGCATAAATGAGCCTTTGGCCAGACTGGACTACCTCTTACGGACATACAGGTAGTGACGCCAGATCTTGAGAGCGAACACCACTGCCCCCAGTACCAAAACATAAGTGTGATACCTTGCCTCATGAGGCTTCAACTGCCTCGATGCATATGCTATCACATGCCCCATCTGCATAACCATCATGTCCAACCCTGATATCGATGCATCACAGTATACCACAAAATCCTCCACTCCCTCTGGAAGAGATAATACCGGGACTTCGCACAATCTCTAGAGAAGAATCTCAAATGAGGTCTACTGCTCGGGACCCCATGAGAAAAAAACTCCCTTCTAGGTCAACCGTGTAAGTGGCACTGCAATCTTGGAGAAATCCTTGATGAATCTCGAATAATAACCAGCCATTCCCAGAAAACTTTTGATCTCGGTAGCAGATTTTGGCACCTTCCAACTCATTACCGCCTCAATCTTGGTAGGGTCGACCAGTATAGCATTCTGATTAACAAGAAGCCCCAAGAACTAGACCTCTAGTAACCAGAAATCGCACTTGGAGAATTTGGCATAAAGCCTCTCCGATCTCAAAACCCCGGGGACCTCCCTCAAATGCTCCTCATGCTGCTCTCGGGATCTAGAATACACTAGAATATCATCAATAAACACAATCACCGACCGATCCAGCATCAACCTGCATACCCTGTTCATGAGATCCATGAACGTTGTTGGTGCATTGGTGAGCCCGAAGGGCATCACCTCGAACTCATAATGCCCATAACGCGTCCTGAATGCCATCTTCTAGATATCATCATCACGTACTCTCATCTAGTGATATCCAGACCTCTAGTCTATCTTGAAAAACCAAGACGCCCCCTACAACTGATCAAACAGATCATCGATCCTCAGCAACGAATAACGGTTATTAACCGTCAGTTTGTTCAGCTCCTGGTAATCAATGCACATTCAGTGCGAACCATCCTTTTTCCTGATAAAAAGGATCGGAGCTCCCCAAGGCGAGCTAATCAGCCGAATAAACCCTTTTCCCAACAGCTCATGAAGCTGCGAGGATAGCTCCTACATCTCTGGAGGCACAAGACGATAAGGCTCCTTGGTGATAAGCGCTGCTCCCGGAACCAAATCAATGCGAAACTCCACCTACCTTTCGGGAGGCACACCCGACAATTCCTATGGAAAAACATCCGGAAACTCGCGCACTACTGGAACATCATTAACCGAACTCGGCCTACTCGCAGCTGCCCGGGTATCCAACACATAGGATACAAACCCCTTGCAACCCTGCAGGAGACTCTGCCTGGCTCTGGCGGCCGAACAAAACGTTGACTCACTTCGGGTACCCTTGCCATATACCATCAACTCTCCCCCACTAGGGTCTCGTAGCGTCACCAACTATCGCTCGCAGTCAACAACAGCCCCGAAGCGGCTCAACTAATCCATGCCCACTATAACGCACACGTCCCCCATCGCTATCAGAATTAGATCTATCGGAAACTCAACACCAAAGATTTTAGGCACACATCCCTGAATTACATCTCTGGTATACACCGCTCTCTCGTAGGCTATAGAAACCCGCAAAGGTCGACTCATCACCTCCTGTTGAATACTGATGTGCTGATTGAACGCTAAAGACACAAATGACCGACTCGCACCCAAGTCGAACAACACGAAAGAAGGTACAGAATTCACAATAAAAGTACCTACACATGTCATAATATAAAAATAATATCTCAATATAGCATCAATAAATTGAAGGATACATACCAGCCACAACATCAGGCGCTACGCAGACCTCCTCCGCTGTCAACTGAAAGGCTCTCCCGCGAGCCTTGGGCGCCTCAGCCTTCACTGGCCATCTCTCTGTAGCTCACACGGTAGAAGGGGCAAATCCCTGTGTCGAACCCCGCAATTGTGGGCACTTTTCCTTCCGATGGCCAGTCTGGTTGCAGTGGAAACACACTACAAATTCCTCAAGGCAGTCCTTCGCCATATGCCCTTACTTGCCACACTTATAGCCAGATCCAGATCTACATACCCCCTCATGACCCTTTTCGCACGTACCACAAGTGCGACCCTTCTAGTTCCCTGACCTCGTATCGGCGGGCTTTGCCTGCTTGACTGTCGGCTAAGACTGAGTCGGTCACATCTCCATCCTCTGAGAGTCGGCCTCCTCTCTGGCCTATGTCTTGAGCTCGATCTCCCTCTTCTAAGCAATTGCTTGAAGATAGACAAATGTCCGGTAAGTTGAGATTTCCATGAACTCGCGAATGTCCCTCCTCAGAATACTCAGATATCGACTCATGCGTGCCTGCTCTGTCGACACCTGCTCAGGGCAAAACATTGCTCTCTCGTGAAAGATCCTAGTAATCATGGTAACATACTCAGTACTCTGCTTCAGGGTTAAGAACTCCTGGGCCAGCCGTTCCCTTTCCACCGGGGGAACATACTCATCTCGAAACATAGAGGTAAACCTCTCCCAGGTCACCGCAACAAGCTCTGCAGAAATGAAGTGTGTTGTCGTGAACTTCCACCAATCCTTCGCTCCCAAGCAAAGTTGGTTCAAAGCGAACCGTACCCTCAGATGCTCCGGACATGAACATGTGTAAAAGAACCCCTCAATGTCAGATATCCACCTCATCGCGGCTATAGGATCCTGAGTCCCATCGAACTCTGGTGGCTTCGTGTTGCTGAACTCCCGGTACAGCAACTCGTCACCTCCTTAAGGCCTGGCAGCAGCAACGGTTGTAGTGGCTGCAGCAACAGCAGCATCAGTAAGAGCAGCGTACCGTTCATCAAAAGTGTCAATCAGAGTCGTCTTGATAGACCTGAACGTCTTTGGAATCTCAGCTCGGATG